CCTGGCCATTTTTTGGTTGCAGCCATCACTGTTGTTTGGCGGGCCCGGGCTGGGGATTCAAACCCGCCACCTTAGGTGTATGTGGCTGGCGCCTTAGCCGCTTGAGCCACAGGCGCCGAGCCTGGGATAGAGTTTTACTTTATCGCCGTCGGTTGGTGTCATAGCTCACAGTAACCTTTAACTCTTGGGCTCAAGAGATTCTCTTGCCTCAGCCTCTGAAGTAGCTGGGACAACACCACAACACCTGGCTATTTTTAGAGACGAGGTTTCACTCTGGCTCAAGCTGGTCTTTAACCTGTGAGTTCCACCCACCTCAGCCTCCCAGAGTGCTGGGATAATAAGGTATGAGCCACTGCACCCAGCCTTAACAGATTTTTTTTTGGGGGACCGAGGTGGGTTTGAACCTGCCACCTCCAGTATATGGGGCCAGTGCCCTAATCCTTGAGCCACAGGCGCTGGAAGGTTCAGTGCCCATAGAACAGTGGTTATGGCGCCAGCCACATACACCAAGGCTGGCGAGTTCTAACCCAGCCCAGGAGAGCTAAACAACAATGGCAACTGCAATAAAAAATAGTCAGGTGTTGTGGTGGGGACCTGTAGTCCCAACTACTTGGGAGGCTGAGGCAAGAGAATCACTTAAGCCCAAGATTTGGAGGTTGCTGTGAGCTGTGAGACCACAGCACTCTACACAGGGCGACATAATGAGACTCTGTCTCAAAAAAAAAAAAAAAAAAGAAAGAAAGAAAGAAAAAGAAAAACAGATCTTAATGAAGAAACAAAAATGACAGAAAAGAACCCAAGGTGATTTCTGGACTTGGAACCCCTCCATGACCACCTGAGAGCCCACCATACCTGGTATTTTCTGTATCATGACCGAGTGGTCTGTGTGGTGCCAGCCCATTTATGTGAAAGTCTCCTCTGATCCAGTACTGCCAGGAGGCAGTGCAGGGACTGACTTACCTCTTCTACAGGACACAGCCCAGCTGAGCTACTGCCAGAAATCTGCAGCAGAACATGGTAGGGCCAAGTGCCTGAGCTGATGGCCAGGTGGCCTGTGGCCTGGGCATATCCTATTCCTTTGCTGGGGCCTCAGTGTCCTATTCCGTGCAATGGGCCTCATGAGACCTACTGCTGGTGGTGGGAGCACCAGGAGCCAGGAATGAGTCTGCTAATAAGCAACACTCTTGAGTTTTGTTGTTGGTTTAATTTATTACTGTTTGACATCCAGTGACACTGACATACCCCCGCCTGCCCACTGGGCCCCTGGCGAGTCTGACCTGTCCGATAAAATACAGTACGAGGAGTGGACGGCTACACACATGCATCCACAGCTTAACTACAGTGATTCCAAACTGCGCTGCGACAGTACTGCCAGGAAAGGAAAAGAAAAACAGTTTCGTGTGTTCCCCAATTCATAATTCTCTCTTTTTAAAACAGTTAATGCTGTTACAAATGCTACTGATGCCATGACAAGGCCAGACACAAACAGTCCTATCTTCTCTGCCGTATAAATATGGAAGATATTTTTGTTTATGCAGTTTTATCCCAAGTATGAAACTACGCCTGCTGCTACCCATTACTGCTAAGGGGCTACACCATCTCAGCTCTGGAACGAGGGGCTTGGGGTTGAGACTGGAATGTCGCAGCTCAGTCTTCCTCGCTGCCACTTCCTGAGCGGTCCTGAGGAGACAAGAGGAGAGAATGTGAGTCAGAGTCCCTTGCCAGGGGCCTAACTGGGCTTTAAACTTGTATGTTTATTAAAACATCCACACAAGCAATAGGAGCCAGGCTGTCATGGCTGCTCCCCAACAACTTCATTTTTCTCTTAAGGATATATCTGGGGGACACCTTCTATAGCTTCAGGACCACCTTGGCTCTTCCTGACCATGAAAGATCATTGTTCTTCCATTTAAACTTTTCTTTTTTTTTTTTT